CAGACCTCTTCCAACTCCCAAAAATAACCACCTTCTCTCTTAGCAAAAGGCGTCAAAATTATCAACTCCGCTGCCCCCCAATACTCATAACTTCCACATCTATCTTCTTAGTCCCTCCAACAGTCTCAGAGGACAGTGCTTTCTCTCTAAAGCCAATACCGCTTTTCGCACCTTGTCCATTCTTTCCCATTGCAAATAAGTTAAATTGTAATAATTAGTTATTAAATAATTATCTTAATAGGCCTGGCTGGATGCCCAAAAGAGGGTGGGCCGCAGCAAGGACTCCATAAATATCCGTACAATGGCTGAATGAATCCCACCCTGAGATGGGAAACGTCCTCACAAACTACAAATCCCATCAGGCAGGGTGAAACGGCACAAGCCCCTGGCCGTCGCCGCGCCGCACACTGACGCAGGAGCCTCCGCAGGCGCCTCAGAACTCTTGCACGCGACAGTGAACTCGCCCGGGGAGGGGGGGGGGTCCCTCCTCCCTCAGTATCCCAACCCCATTGGTCACTGGCGAAAAGGTCCGCCGGATCTCAACTAATCAGCGCGCGGCGCCCCGCCCCCGGGCCGCAGGCGTCACGCGCAAACGAGGGGGCTTCCTGGCTTCCTAGAGAGGCCCCAGCGGCAGACACGCTTCCGCCTGTGTCGGGGTTGGCGTGTCCCTCGGGGTTTCCTACCGACTGGTTCCTGGGTGTGTCGGCAGCCAAGCGCATTTGGTGACTTTTGGAGACTTGCTGCCAACAAAGTTGGGCCCACCAGTTGAAAAGTGCCTGTAAAGCATGTTGCAAACAAGTAAAAAAATAAGAGTTCTTGTCAGCTGGAACAGCAGGAGAGATCGGAGTCGCAGCCGATTCCGGGGGCTGGGAGAACGGACGTGGGAAGGACGCCCAGAGACTTGGAAAGGGGAAGAACTCAGATCCCAGGGCTCATAAAAGGGGCTCTGGCCCGTCGGGGCCGCTGCCACCAACCGCTCAAGCCGCTTTCCTCCTTCCCCTCTGTGTACCCATCCCAGCTCTCAGAGCTTCCGGGACAAGTGGCGCCGCACGATTACCGGGCTGATTAAAATACCGAAGCTTTCTTTCCTGCTTCGCAGCGCCGACAGCCACCCACGAGTCTCCGCGCTTTCCCCTCCCGCCTAGTACAGGTGCCGCACTCAGCAAGTAGTTAATGACTATATAGCGACCTGAATTGCTGAGGCTCGCTTCCTCGGATTGTCACCAGAATTGTCCCCGTCCCTTCTCACCGGGCTTTAGTGAGGACCAGCTGCCCCCCATTTCCAGGGGTTCACCCAGGCAGCCCGTTTTGACATGGCTTCATTCCAAAAGCTGAGGAATGCGGTGAAGAAGTTATTAGGGAAATTACTTGGTAATTTTTTTTTAAAGATAAAATTCTGCCTTTAGCAACATGTAAAGGACTACGGGGATCGGAGGATAGGTTTTAGGAGGTCCATGAATTCCCTGAAATTGCACGTACATTTTTCTGGTCAGAAATTTACTGATTCTTAAAGATGATACTTGATTTAACTGCATTAAGAACCTGCTCTAGACCAGGAGTCACTTAGAAGAACACTTATAAGAACTGTATCATACACAATAATCATCAGCGGTAGCAGCCCTGAAATCTCAGTAATAAGGTAATTAAAAGGAAAAACTGGACCATACAGATGATCCAGAATCTTACATTGTTAATCATGAAATGTGTATACACACATACACATAATAGGTGACACTTACTCTGTTATTAAAGGTAAAGGATCTCACCAAGCAGAGCAGAAGATCAAGGACACAGAGTGAAAAACCAGGAGCTAACAGCATAGCATGTTTGAGTACTGGAGTGAGGGTGAAACTCACAGGGTGGAGATGAAACTGGTATACAAAGTCACATTAAAACCATAATGAAACACAATGCAGTTTGAATAATAAACATTAGAAAGGCATAATGTGAGTAAAATTGTAAAGAAATGCTTTATTTACCTAAAATGTTAGTATATCATTAAAATTAATTAGGGAGGAAAATGTACATGGGCATAGCTTCAAAAATTCTGAAGGATATTTCTGGGTATTTAGGTAGGACTTCGAGATTGTGAGACCTGCTGACTTGTTTTTTGTTTTAATAGGTCTAAAATTAAGATAAATTATGTCTTTTCCTTGGTAGTATTCTAGTTGCACAAAATTATGACTACCAATCAAAATCATGGTCAGATACTGACTCCCAGGTAAGGTGAAGAGGGAGGCAAACAAAGGGAAAAAGAGAGAAATCTTCCTGAGATAACAGGGTGAGAGGCGGAAGAGAGCAGAGAATGAGGTTACAGGATTTGTGTACAGTGTACATAAGAAGATGCAAATAATTTCATTCACCAGAATTCCTCCTGGGAAAGTGCTATATATTTAGGAATATTCTTCTGGGAATGAGGTGTGAGAGATCGCCCCTCTTAAGAATGTGCTCAGGCACAAGTCACTAAGTTGCCTTCTAATGTTGAAGTGAGTGGATTAACTAAGGGACCTTTTCTTTTGCTGAGTAGCGGTAGATTTAAGAAGGTAATTAAGCTGGGGACAGGAGATAGGGATGGTTCTGATATCTGGCAAGAGAAAAGGAGCTGAGATCGCTGAGCCCTGAGAGGGGAGAATAAAAACCTTCACTGGCTGTTTGACCAAGAAGGGACTTCTAAGGAAAAAAAACATGTCTAATAGGATGTACAATGTGAACCCTTTTCCACCTCTTACACATCATGTTCAGTGAAGTCCATCCTGCTCACGGATGTGTTTGTATAGTAGATTCTTTTGGAGGAAGCTTGAAGAGGTCCCGAGTTCTCTATCAGGACTGGCAAGAGGTAAATGTGGAAGTAAAGTATGCGAATACACGAATCAGACGTTACGTTAAAGCAATTGGTGACATCCAGGTTTCTTGTGAGAAGGATATGGTCTGGGTACAATTCAATTTGAGCTTGAGCAATGAAAAAAAAAAAAGAATAAGAGAGCACACTATGCTTGTAATCACCCCAAGGGAAGAGGTAAGTCAAAGAACTTCCCCTGCTAAGAGTCTGACTGTTAGAAGCAGAGGTACCTGGAAAGATACGGAAACTGTGCCATCAACTGTTTATTTGTATAGCCCTTCTCTCAAACCAAAGTTTTGAGCCTGGAATACACCTATATTGGGGTACAGAATAAATCCACTTTGTGGACTTGGCTGTCACCAGTTATGTTTCCAAGGACATGATTTAAATTCATTATGTTCTAATCTATGTAGTAATTAGTAATAGAAAATTTGCAAAGGATTTCAAGTAAGCTAATAATGAATCTGCCTGTCCACAGCACAGCATTGTGCTTAAGAGCATAGACCAGGGTTGGAGTCTTGGCTCTAGCTCTTACTAGCTGTGTGATCATGGGTAAATTACTTAACATCCTCCGTCTGCCCCTCCTCATCTTTTAAATTGGGGTAAGAATACCCACATCACTGATGGTTGCACAACTTTGTAAATTAAAAATCATTCAACTCAACACTTAAAACAGGTGAATTTATGGTATGAAAATTATGCCTCAATAAAGCTGTTCAAAAAAAGAGTACCCATATCATACAGATGCTGTGAAAACAAAAATGTAAACTGTCTGGCACTGTGCCTGGCACATGGTAAACACTCAATAAATAAATATTAGTGATTAGTGTTAGTGTAACAAAGAAGAGATTAAAGAATAAAGACATGTAAAGTTAAATTTTTAAAAAGCAACTAAGGAATTATTGGGCTGGTTGAAACTTCAGAGATAATTTAGCTGAACTCCCCTCAGTTTACAAATGAGAACATTAGAGACCAGCAAGTGAAGTGCCTTATTCAAGGTTTAGCTCTAAGACCAGACCCCGGGCCTGCTGGATCCCCCTTAGTGCAATTCCTGCTGCCACCCACTGCCTCAGAAACATGGACACATGAAAAATGGAGGATGTGTTTCCTTAAAGAAGAAATAACACATAGGAGAACACAGGAAATATATGTAGAGATGTTGAAGAAATAATTTCAAGGCCAAGGAGCAAACCAAGAAGAGGCTGTCACATCCTGGCCTATCAGCCAGAGCCTCCAGCAGTGGGCTCTAAGTCATGACAGCTTAAGTGCTTTGGCAAGGCTGGGCCCTGACCAGTCAGGTGAACCAGCTCACCACTGTGGCCACATGCCTGATGGAGGCAAAGCCACTCTGCTGCACAAGATCTGTCAGCAGTGGCAGGAGCTGGGGCCAAAACTCAATCCAGAATTATTGGAAACAGTCTGAGCAGCCCTGAAGTGGGGATAGTGACTAAAGGGCCACTTCTACCCATGCTGAGTAGTCTAGTCTCTATTGTTTATCCCCTGGCATTGCCTAATCAGCCCTTCTGGATTCTAAGACCATTGCTTACAATCCTATAAGGTGCCTGTCAGTTCCTCCTCCATGGCAACCTCTTCAGAAAAAGGGAAACCTAGCAGGAGATGTGAAATGATCCAAGCTTCCTGCTTCTTCATTACTGCTGCCAACTTCTAAAAGAACTTGATAGTATGGCTGGAAGATGTGGAGGGTAAAAAAACTTACTAAATTATCCCAATGCTAAGCAGTAGACAGGAGAATGAGGTGTGTTTTCTGAGTCACAACTGTCTAACATTGCAGAGGATAACATTCAGTGAGTCAGCTCTGTCATTTTTAGGAGGTGGTGGAATCCTGTTCCCCCACTTTTCCTGAAGAGTAACAATTTAAGACAGATGGCTGGTACAGACCCCTAATGTTACGTGATCCACTCAGGGAGGAGAAAGGAAGAAAGGAAAGAGGGACAGAGGAGAATTAAGGCCTGAAACAGCTTTTATGATTTAACTCAGTACATTGCCTCATCCTCTTCTACCAACTCTTTAAATAAAAATCAGTGCAAGGACAGAGAAGATTCTGTCCATTCATTTCATTTGAGAACTTGGGGTGTAAATTATGAATGAATGAATAAGTCTGACTTTAGCCTTTCCACAAAAAGCCTTCCTGTTTTGCAGATCATTCCATACAGTGAACATTTTGATGTCGGAGGAGGTGAGAGCTCCGACTAAAGGTCTTCTGACATTCTTGGCACTCATAAGGCTTCTCTCCAGTGTGAATTCTCTGATGTATGATAAGCTGGGAATGCTGGCTAAATGTTTTCTCACATTCATTACATTCATAAGGTTTCTCTCCAATATGAATTTTCTGATGGAGAAGCAGCTCGGAATTATCCCAAAAGGTTCTTGCACACTCATTACATTGATGGGGCTTCTCTCCAGTATGAATTCTCTGGTGAACAATAAGGTGAGAGGTCCGCCTGAAAGCCTTTCCACACTCAAAGCATTCATAAGGTTTCTCTCCAGTGTGAATTCTCTCATGTCTAAGAAGTTCTGAGTTCCCCCTGAAGGCCTTCCCACATTCCTTACATACATAGGGCTTCTCACCAGTATGAATTCTAATATGACGAATAATCTCTGAGTTCTGGCCAAAAGTTTTCCCACATTCATTACATTCATAGGGTTTGTCCCCTGTATGAATTCTTTGATGCCGGATAAGCTCAGAACTCTGACCAAAGCCTTTCCCACATTCGTTACACAGGTATGGTTTTTCTCCAGTATGAATTTTCTGGTGCCTAATAAGGCCTGAGCTATGCTTGAAGGCTTTGCCACACTCATTGCATTCATGGTATCTTTCTTCAGTATGAATTCTCTGATGCTGAATAAGCTGTGAACTAACCCTAAAGGTCTTCCCACATTCATTACATTCATAAGGTTTCTCTCCAGTATGGATTCTCTGGTGTAGAATAAGGGCTGAATTCTGACTGAAGGCTTTACCACATTCTTCACACTTATAGGGTCTCTCTCCAGTATGAATTCTGTGATGGTGGATAAGATGTGAACTCTGAATGAAGGCCTTCCCACATTCATTACAAGCAAAGGGTTTCTCTCCAGCATGAATTCTCAGGTGCCTTCGAAGGCTTGAATTAGTTCCAAATGTCTTTCCACATTCTTTGCATTCAAAGGGTTTTTCTCCACTATGAACTCTCATATGCTGGATGAGATGTGAGTTCTGATTAAAGGCTTTCCCACATTCTTTACATGTATGAGGCTTTTCTCCCACAGAACTTCTCTGTGTTTTGTTAGGTTCTAAATTCTCTATGAAGTTTTGGCCAGAGGTAGCAAATGTACTAACTCCCTCTGCTATAGTATCTCCCTGATGTATAACCAGATTTGCACTGGGATTGCAGCCTCTTTTGCTCTCATTATTCTGATCTTTCTCACTTGAAGGTGATTTCTTAAAAATAATCAACCCTGACGCAAAGTCTTTCTCCTGAGGAGACATCTGCCCTATAATCTCTTCTGGGGACTCTCTCAAATGTCCCTCTGATATATCTTCTTCACATGCTGCTCCAAACTCATGACTTTGGTAAACCACTTTTGGAAGTTTCTCTAATATTGACCCATGTGACTCAGATTCTTCAGAAATTTCTTCCTTGGGAATCACCTCCTTGTTCTCAGTACCCATCTCACAATCTGAAATGAGAAAGGGTAAGCATGTGAAGTGACTATATCATATTTAAATGAACCTAACGCTAGAGGAGCACAGAGCTTTGACTTAGTTCTGATAGCTCAGAATCAGTCTTAGTATCCGGTGAAAAAACAGGATGCTGCTGAAGGGATTTGAGATTATGGTTGACAGGCTAAGTGCAGATACTGACTGAAAAGAGTGAGAAAAATTATCAGAGGAAGAGATTTAAAGAGAGAAATAGGAAATGAATGGTAAAGAGATGCTGATAAAAAGTTCCATAATATTAACAGTTGGGTTGAAACCTAAGGTTGGTAAAGAAAATGTTTAGGAAAAAATGGTGGCCATTTGTGAGTTATATCTAACATTTACTAAATAATTATTTTCCCTACTGATTTAAAATGCCACCTATACCATAGTCTAAATGTCCATATATTAATATATCTGGGTCAATTTCTGGATTGCATTCAGTTCTACTGATTTATTTCTTCTCTAATACCAAACTGTTCGACCAGCTATAGCTTTATTAAAATTTTTAAGATATGTTAGAAAAAGTTATCTCTGAATTCTTTTACAGCTATTTCCTGTCTATTCTCATATTTTTCCAAATAAATTTTAGTATAATTTTGTAGTCCAAACTTTTCTTGATATTGTTTTTTCATGTCCATCATGTCTCTGCATCTCTTTTCATTTAATGAGTCTGTCTTATATAACTGGTTATTACTTCTATATATAGCAATGCTGTTGATCATTACATATTAACTTTGTAATCAGCTGTTTTATACAATTTTCTTAACACTTTTTTAAAAATTAAAAAAAAAATTTAATTTTAAATTTTTTTATTTTTTTAAATTTTGCCTACAGCTGCAATTTTTTTAATTTTTAAAGACAGGGTCTGTGTTACCCAGGTTGGATTTGAACTCCTGGGCTCAGGTGATCCTCCCATCTCAGTCTCCCCAGTACCTGAGACTACTGGAGACCATCACCATGCCCACTTTTCTTAATACTTTTATAAATCTTAAAGTATACACTTTTTAAAAATTTCTAAAAGACTATAACAAAGACTTTTCTTTTTTTTAATAGAGATAGGGTCTTACTCTGTCACTCAGGCTGGAGTGCAGTGGCTTGTTCATAGCTTACTGTAACCTTGAAATCCTCGGCTCAAGTGATCCTTCTGTCTCACTCAGCCTTCCCACTAGCTAGGACTACAGGCACATACAGGCAGGTGCCACCATGCCCAGCTAATTTTTAAAAACATTTTCGTAGAAACAGGGTCTCACTATGCTGCCCATGCTGGTCTCAAACTCCTGGCCTCAAGCAATCCTCCCACCTCAGCCTCCCAAAGTGTTGGGGTTACAGGCATGAGCATGCCTGGCCATGCTGTGGCATAGAATTTTAGTTGCCTACCCCAATATCTATTCTTCCCCATTTCATCACAACAGAATAATAAATCTACTTAGTGTGGCAATGAGCCTAGCTAAAGAAATACATCCCTCAGCTTTCTTTGCCCTTGTGTTGACCATGTGATCAAATTCTGGCCAATGAGACAGTGAGATGTAAATGAAAGCACATGGTACTACCGGGAATAATGGATGAGGGGATATAATTTTTCCCTCTCTTCTTCCATGCTGTTCCTGGGACAGGATTTGATAGCTGGAGTACCATCTTGGACCATGAATATACTGGCATACCCTAGCACTGGAGATCAGACCCAGAAGGAACCTGGGTCTATGAGGACTGCCATACCAGTCCTAGAATGCCTACCTCTTGACTTCATTTATCTAAGAGAGAAATAAGCTTTTGCCTTGCTTAAGGCATCATGTTCTGTTCTGTTTAGTTTAGTTACATGAGGCCAATCCTATTCCTAAGACACCTGCCCTGGAGATTTAGCTGTCCCTATCACAGATGTGCATCCAAATGCTGGGAGAATGAGCCTAACCTCTGTTCAGGTGGTAAGCGACCTGGAGCTAACATTGAAGTGGCCCTTTGCCCAGAGCAGTGTACCACAGCAAATCTGAGAAAGATAACCCTCCCATCAGTAAAAGTGTTAACTGTGGAAGGTGATTCTCAAAGAGGGGATGGGTAGGTATGGAATTTCATCTTTTAAACAATGCAGTCATGGAATGGTTTTTAAACAAAGGAGTGACACGGTTCACGGTCAGATTAGTATTTCAGGTAGATGCACACTAATGGTCATTTAGTGGCTGTACTAGAAAGCAGTAGCCCTGAACACAGGGAGATCATTTGGGAGGCTGGTGGAGTCATTAAGACAAGTGGTGATGCACTCTAACTATGGCAACAGGAGCAGTGGGGCTGAAGAGGAGATAGACTAGAGAAAGATTTAAGAGGTCAAATTCTGTAAGACTTGGTGTGTGACTAGATACAGATGTAAGGAAGAGGAAGGAGTCAAAGAAAGTGCCCAGATCTCACTTAATTTGAGAGATGGTAATAAGATGGAGGGTGGCACCACCAAGATTGGGAGTACTGGAGGAGGAGCTGGTTTAGAAGGGAAGATGATGGATGAGCTCTGATTTGAACAGGATGAGTTTCAAGATATCGACAAAAAGGTATCAAGGAATCAGTCAAAATATATTAGTCTAAAGTTTAATGTAGTCAAGACTAGAGAAGTAGACTTGAGAGTACTCAGCATGAGTACAGTGTGAGAACTATCAGAGACTGAAGACAGAAACCTTGGAGTCAAAGCTAACAGTCACAAGTACTCCAGTTATCTCCCATTTTCCTCTCTAGATCTTTCCATCCTTCTCACCCTGCTCTCTGCCCCAGAAGGCTAACCTGTATGGAACTCATCAACAGGCCCTCAGGCTCCTAGCTGTGTTCCACCAACGGGAGCCCAAGCAGGAGACAGGATGCAGGGAGAAGATGGCAGTCAGTCAGGGTATTTATTCTCCCGGTTCCTTCCTATGATTTGAGAGATGGTAATTATCCCTCAGTTGAAGGTCATTACTCCTCTCAAGGTGTCTATCCTATTCCATTGTCTCACTATCTGGGTTCCAGTAACCTCTACTCTCTCTTGTCTCTTCTGGCCCAGGGCTGATGACTATTGCCAGCCCTAGGCTCATCAATACCCTGCTCACATCTACATCATTTATAATTAATCTCTTTGTGAATAAATTTGAGTGAGCTACTTCCTATTCAGATCCTGACAATAAAGGGGTGAGTGGAGGCAGAGAAGTCTGCAAAGAAGAGAAAGAATGGTTAGTGAAGTAGAAGAACCAGAACTGTGTCACAGAAGTCACCAGAACAATGGCAGAGGAAATTTAAAAATATCAAATGAGCTGAGGTGGGAGGATCGCTTCAGGCCAGGAGTTCAAGACCAGCCTGAGCAAGAGTGAGACCCCATCTCTACTAAGAATAGAAAAATTAGCCAGGCGTAGAGGTGCATGCCTGTAGTCCCAGCTACTTGGGAGGCTGAGGCAGGAGGATCGCTTGAGCTCAGGAGTTTGAGGTTGCAGTGAGCCATGAGGATGCCACTGCACTCTAGCCTGGGCAACAGAGGAATACTCTGTCTCAAAGAAAAAAAAAAAGTATCAAATGTAGTTGAGAGATCCAGTAAGGTAATAATGGGAAATGTCTACTGGGACAATTAGGTGATCACAGATGACCTGTGAGAACAGATTCAGTGGGATGGTAGAAGCAGAAGCCAGGTAGCAGTGGACTAAATAATGAATTTGCTGCTTCTTTCAAAAAAACGTGGATGAGGCTGGGCGCGGTGGCTCACGCCTGTAATCCTAGCTTTCTGGGAGGCCAAGGTGGGCGGATTGTTTGAGCTCAGGAGTTCGAAACCAGCCTGACCAAGAGCGAGACCCCGTCTCTACTAAAATTAGAAAGAAATTAATCGGACAACTAAAAATACATAGAAAAAATTAGCCACGCGTGGTGGCGCATGCCTGTAGTCCCAGCTACTCGGGAGGCTGAGGCAGGAGGATCGCTTGAGCCCAGGAGTTTGAGGTTGTGAGCTAGGATGACACCATGGCACTCTACCCCAGGCAACACAGTGAGACTCTGTCTCAAAAAAAAAAAAAAAAACATGGATGAAAGGAGAAGACCAAGATGGACAGTAATGTGGGAGTGCTCCAGGTCAAGGATTTTCTCTAATGGGAGAGATTTAAAGACATTTACATTAGAAGGAATGATGTCAGTAGAGAGAGAGGGGTTAAGAGGGAAGAAAAGATGGGATTACTGAAGAAATGAAGACCCTGAGGGGCAGAAGAGACTGGAGTCACATGGTAAGGGAAGGGGAAAGTGGTAACTTTAGGGGTGACTCTGTACTGCCCTTTTTCTCTGCCCAGCCTCCAGTCATCTGCAGGATGTTGGTCACTACCACCATCCTACCCTGGGGCCTCTGTAGTCACTCATCAGTGCAGCCCTGGTAACGCCCCCTCCCCTGACACCCGGAAGGAACGTGATCTCCCACTGGAACCCTGAAGTCTTGGAAGCTCTTTCTGCTACCTCTCAAAATGAGCTAGAATCTTATTCAACTTTCCCCACCTTGGCATCTTCTCTAATTTTCCCATGGAGTAAGGGAAAGTACCTAAAAGCTAGATTTCTCCTTTTTGTTGAAATCTCTGAAAATTATATTAATAGATAATACATACCTATATAATTGCAAGGATCCGCTGTAGAGAATTTAGCTATCTTCTTCATCTATGGTACCATCTGAGTTGGGAAGCATGGCCTTAAATAAATTTCTCTCTAATACCCAGCCAAGAACAACTTCCACAAGCTGGTACTTCAGTCCCCATCTACTTCCAACCCTGTCTGGCCTTTCTTTTTCATCCTCATGTCTCCTATAATTGCTTCTTTTCCATCATCTAGTTCTTTTCAAAGTCAGCATTTGTAGAACCTACATCTGTACCACCCCAAGCGCAAAATAATCTGTTCACCTAGTAAAACAAGATACAATAGAAGTTAGGTATATATCTATCCCCCACTTCAAGACCTGGTTCAAAACTCAGATTCAGAAAGTCTTTCCCAACTGT